CCATCTACTGAGATACTTTCAGGTAAGGCCCTGCTGCGTGTATGTCTTCTTTTGAAAAGTTAGACTATCATTTTTAATATATGTATAGGATTCCATTATTTGTATGCATGTCATAATTATTTAACTGGTTCCCTATCAATGAATTTTTGTGTTATCCCTGATATAAAATATGAGGATTTCAGGTAAGGCCCTGAAAATATCTCATCTAAAACATCAAGAAACAGAGAAAAACTCTGTTCCCATATCCTTTCCAAATCTCTGACACCCACAGTCCATGAATCTAATAAAATGTCTGCACTAAGCTTAGAGTAGTTTATTATCCAGGCATAATAACTAAACACTAACCATGTCAGGGTTTGGGCTTCCTGAGGAAATGGGGAATCATTGAAGCAGTTTCTGGATATAGAGTAACCTAATCAGACATGGGATTTGACACTAGTATAGCACAAAGCCTCAGGGCTCTGCAACTCCAGGGGTAACAATAATGTAGGACACAAGGTAAAGATGGTCCTTAGAGTTGTGCAGATTGGTGACCCTGCTCGCTGTGGATGAACCATCAAGAGCCAGAACTAGAAGTGAACTACTAATGAGACTAATATAATAGTCTGGATAAAAGACGAGGGCCTGAGCTAGGGTAGTAACCATGAAAAATGAAGAAAAGGTAGATATCAGAAATGTTTCAGAAGTAGATCCAGTAGAACCGTGAGACAGGTAGAAGTCAGGAATGACTCCCACGTGTCTGGCTCATGGAGGATAGCGGTATAATTTCCCAGATCAGAGATCACAGGAGGAGAGACCAGTTTGAAGGAGGAGATGATGGATTAAAATTTGGATGTGTTGATTCTGAGGTGTCTGAGCATATGTCCAGACATCATGTGGACATATGACAGAGGCCTGGGCTATAAATAATATCTTTGGTCCTTAACAGTGTATATTTAGTCATTACGGCCATGGAAGTGAATGGTGTGGCAGTTGAAGAAGTTACAAAATGAGAAGATGGGCCTAGAACCAAATACTGGGGAATTAAGATGTTTAAGGGACTGGCCAAAGAAGGAGGCCTCAATAAAGGATTTTCTGAAATTATTAAATAGGTAGTAAAAGAAACCAAAGCATCTGGTGTCAGAATACCTAAGACAGGAGAGAATATTAATAAAAAAAAAAGTAGTCAGTGTTAACCCATATCTCAAAGAGCAAGTATGGCAAGGACTGATAAGTGGTCATTGAATCTGGTAATTATAAGGTCACTGGTGCCTTTGCAGAGCAGTTTCTGTGGAGTGGTGGGAATAATGAACAACAGGCAACAGACAAGGACTTAGTGAAGAGTGAAGAGAAATATGAGTTCCCTAAACAGGCAGGAAAAGAGAAAGGGGCATTGAAACCAAAAATGGCAGGGAGAGGAGGGAAAAGGAGTGGGCGAGCAGAATGACTCAAGCCTTTGTCAATTATACTGCAGGCCTTTGTCTGTGAGAGAGGCAGGGTGGTGCAGTGGTTAAGAGGACAGGCTTTGGAGCCAGGCTGCTCGTGTTTGTGTCAAGTTTCACCACTACTTACTAGCTGTATAAGCTTGGGCAAGTTACTTAATGTCTTTGTCCTCAGTTTCCTCATCTGTAAAGGATAATTGTAAATACTTCCTAGGTTTCTGTGAGTGCTTAGAAGCAACCAATAAATGTTGGCTCTCAATATTATTATTATTAATTATTATCATTATCATTACTACATGTGTAAGCTCTGGCTTCTTCTCTCAATAATATCTACTGCTCTTATTCTAGGACAGTGATTTTCAAAGTGTGATCCAGGTCCCTGTAGCTCTCTTAGGGGGTCTGGGAGATCAAAACTATTTTCATAATACAAAGACTCAATTTGCCATTTTCACTCACATCCTCTCACAAGTGTACACTGCAGTTTTCCAGAGGCTACATGATACTGCAACAGACTGATATAGAAACAAATATGAAAATCCTGATGACTTTTATTAGGCCAGACACAAAAGTAATTTTCAAAAAAGGTAAAAGAATGTCATTCTTCTCATTTATTTTGGTTGTGGTTTAGAAACTATATTTTCCATAAAAATGTCTTATTTATGTTAACACGTACTGTAATGGGTTTATTTTCGTTAGATGAATGCAAACTGAATATTTAAAAAATTTATCCATTTACATTTCTAAATATGGCAAATATTCAAAAGATATCCACAAAACAAAAGCTCTTGGAAGCTATCAATAGTTTATAAGAAAATTATTAGAAAGGGAGACTAACACCTAAAAGTTTTGAGAATCATTGCCCTAGAGACTGAATCAGAATCAGAACAAAAAGTGTTAACTAGTTTGTACTTCTTTCTCTGGTCACACAAGATCGCTTGCTTTTCTCTAAAGAAATAATTTATGTTCATAGCTCTGAATCTTTGGTGTGCTCTTCCCTCAGTTTAGAATATCCATTTACCTTTCTTTGTCAAAACTCTGCATATCCTACAAGACGCTTACCTCCTCAGTTTCATTGGCTTAAGATGATGTAAGTCCTCAGCTTACCTTCTCAGAAGCTGCCCCAAATCCAGTGTGCTTATGCTTCTTACCATGGACTCCCGTTCACCAACCACAAACATAGTGGCAGCTAGACTCCAAACTGAGCAGAAGTGGGAGAAGAGCCCTCTCCCAAATTCTTTGTCAAAATTTGTCACCTGGGCCCCGAAGCAACATTTCTTGTTTACTGAGTATCATAAAACTGCTACTTTAGTTTTTGCTCACAAGCCCCTTTCTATCAGTCAGTTTGGTCCTGAATGAGAAATGCAATATTACCCTGTTCCCTATATCTTCATCTTTCTTGTACTATTCAGCGGGTCACACACTGAAAATATTTTCTTCACAATAGTAGCACTTCTACCAGTTCCGAACCTTATTTGAAGCTCAGCTGGGATCTCCTGTGGTCATCATCATCATCACCATCATCATTATTCTAATTCTTATATACATTCTGATATGTATCCCACAATAATTCTGTAGGGAATATGTAATCCTATTATGTTAGTTATCTATTGATGTGTAACAAATTATCCCCAAAACGTAGTGGCTTTAAACATTTATTATCTAAGAGTTTCTGTGGGTTGGGAATCTGGGCTGACTTCACTGGTTCTTTTGCTTCAGGGACTCACAGGCTATAATGAAGGTGCTGATTGGGGCTGTGGTCATCTCAAGCCTTGACTGAGAAAGATTTGCTTCCCATTCACATGATTGTCAGTAGGATTCAGTTGCCCAATGACTGTCGGCTAGACAACTTTCTCAGTCCTTCCCACATGAGGCTCTCAAAATGACAGCTTGATTCATCAGAGTATATAAGCTAAAAAGGTAACGGAGAAAAATCTAGTAAGAAGATAGCCAGTCATTTGTATCCCTATCATGGAAGTGGCATCCCATCACTTTTCCAGAATTCTATTTTTTAGAAGCAAGTCACTAAGTTCCACTCACATTCAAGGTAAGAGGATTACACAAGCACATGAATTCCAGCATCATTTAGGGCCATCTTGAAAAATAATTGTCACACTCATTTTCTTGATGGTGAAACTGAGACTCAATGAAGTTGAGTAATTTGATAATTAATAAATGGCAGAGGTTGGATTTGAACTTAAGTCTTTCTGACCCCAAAGCACACCTCTAGCATTTCATACATTTTTATACTGTGTTTGTCACTGAGGCAAACAATTTCTCCTGTTTAACTGCAGTCTTATTAAGGGTAGGAGGAGTTTGTACTCCCTATGGTAACAAAAATGTTGGTAAATAGACTGATGGATGAATACGTGAATTAATTAAAATATTATTAGTCCATACATTGGAATTGTACACACAGAAATTACTAAACCAGGGTTCTAACTAAAAAGCCAGGACAGTAAAATAGAGTACAGATCAAACTAAGAGAAGGGAGAAAATGGGCAACCTAGATAAACTATTGACTCCATGCAGTTCTTCAAATTTCTTTTTCCTTCTGTGTGAAATATGGCCTTTCTATTTTTGTTGGCAGAGATGAATCCCGTATGTGGCCAGAATCCAAACAGTAGAATGACAAAGAATACTCAAAAGGCATTCTGAATAAAGCTATATCCATGCCCATCCAAAATGTACTTATTGATTTACTTTAGAGACAGGATCTCATTTGGTCTCCCAGGCTGGAGTGCAATGGCACAATCCGAGCTCACTGCAGCCTCAAACTCTTGGGCTCATGCTGTTCTCCTGTAGCTAGGACCAGAGGTGCACGCCACCATGCCCAGCTAATTTTTTATTTTTGCAGAGATGGGGTCTCAAACTCCTGGCCTCAAGAGATCCTTCCTTGAGAATCCTCCCTTGAGGATCTCAATGCACTGACATACAAAGCACTAGGATTACAGGAGTGAGACATTACATCGGACCAACAAAATGTGTTTAATGTACATATTTATGTGTGTTTAACCCAGAAAGTCTTAACCTATGTCACTGTGATGCTAGAGGGAAAGAAAATGTAGCAGCCAAAATATTTATGCTAGAAAAGATAGAAGGAGCAGAAAATTACATGTAAATTTGGTTTGGATTATTCCTTTACCTCATAATTGGGTTGTTTATGAAAAAAATATTGCCTGTA